GACCTGATCGCCGGCATCCTGCCGGCGGATTCCGGCACTGTCAGAGTTGCGAACGCGGACCTCAGCAAGCAGACCGAAGCCGAGCGTCGCAGTCATCGAATCCGGCATCTCGGTTTCGTCTTCCAAGATTTCCCGTTGGTGGAGTATCTCGATGCCCTCGACAACGTGCTCCTACCCTTTCGCCTCACCCGTGATCTAAGGCTCGATCAAGACGCCCGCCGCCGAGCCCGAGATCTCTTGGCCGAGCTGGGATTGGCCGGTTACGAGCACCGCCGACCCGTCGAGCTCTCTCAAGGTGAGCGCCAACGCTTGGCCATCGCCAGGGCGCTGGTCACCGAGCCCTCCCTATTGCTGGCGGACGAGCCGACCGCCGGTCTCGATCCTCAACGTTCTCAGCAAATCCTGGATCTGCTGGAAGCGGTCAGCTCCCTACGTCGGCTGACTCTGGTTCTGGTGAGCCACGAGCCGGCTGTGCTGGAACGATTCAGTCGCCGGCTCGACGTTCAAGAGCTCACCACCAAGAGCCCGGAGTAGCCTCGTCAGGCCCGATTGCATCTAGAAAAAGGCGGCGTGCGAAGCAACAGACAGTGGGGATGCCATGGGCGGACAACAGAGCCTGAACCTATGCCTATCTCAGCGACAAAAGCCGGAGATATCCATGACGAAGGTTCCGAAACCGTTAGGCCCAACTTTGCGTAGAGGAAGACAGCAGACCCTGAAACGGTTGAATTCGCGAGTGAAATAGTCTACAGTTGACTTAGCTCAACGAGTCCAGCTCAGCATCAAGGAGGATTCCCCATGGAACGGCCGCAAGGACTGCAAGCTTCCGCCGAGGATCGCCGCACAGCTCTCGAAGCCACAAAGATCAATGCTGAAAGCCTTGAGGAAATAACCGTTTTTATTTCCGAGGCCGCTGCCAACGACTCAGTAGGCCCAGATGCCCTTCAGGCGATTAAAGCAAAGATCAAGGCCTACCATGATCGATTCGGTGCCAAAAAGACGGAGCAATTGCTTTTTGCCACTTATAAGCAGCTCCGCGCGATCCGCCGACAGGGTCTCCTACAGGACGAAGAAGCTCGATTCCGCGCGGAAGAGCTCGTCCACTTGATTTTCGAAGGCGAAGTGCACTGATTGAATTCGCCCGCCT